AGGCGGTTTCAGTGATTGCTGGACCCAGACTAGGAGGAGACTAGTCTGTAAAAGGAAGCTTACTGGAATTCCTCTAAGGGTGAAGTTTTTATCTGTACTCAGTTCTCTAACTGTATTAGACTCAGACTTGCGTGTTTTATTTTATTTTACTTAGTAATTCACTTTGTTCTGTCTGATACTACTTGGAACCACTTACATCCTACTTTTGTATTTAATAAAATCACTTTTTACTTATTAATTAACCCAGAGTATGCATTAATACCTGGGGGGGAGGGACGACAACAGCTATGCATATCTCTCTATCAGTGTTATAGAGGGCGAACAATTTATGAGTTTACCCTGTATAAGCTTTATACAGGGTAAAATGGATTTATTTGGGGGTTTGGACCCCATTGGGAGTTGAGCATCTGAGTGTTAAAGACAGGAACACTTCTTAAGTGGCTGGGTTTGTGTCTGGAGCAGACGGGCGTGTCTGGCTCAATAAGACAGGGTGCTGGAGTCCCAGGCTGACAGGGAAGGCAGGGGCAGAAGTAGTCTTGGCACATCAGTTGGCAGCCCCAAGGGGGTTTCTGTGATCCAACCCATCACACATTGGCTGTGGAATAATCGCCAAGGGAAGTGATGGACATGTCATTGACTGGGACATTTTAAAATGGTGGTATGCAATGTTGCACTGGAAAGGAGATAGACTAGGTGACTTACTAGGCCTAACTCACCTCTAAATTCTCTAAAGTGAGTGAAATATAACCATGTAAAGAAATTCTGGTGTGCTTTTATCAGACATGCCCACTGACTGTTGAAATCCCAGCTCTTGTTCTAAATTATATGTAGATAATGATTTGCGATAATGAACCACTGGAACATTGTGCAGGCCAAAGGTTGATCCAGATGAGGTGAGAGATGTTGATGACAGTGCAACATAAAAGCGTGTAGCAGTGGACCGGTAGAAAAGGTGAGTGCTGTGATTTATGTTTTTACCTTAGGTGCTATTATCAGGCTAGTTGTGCACCTATCCTAAATCTATTGATTGTTGTTAAGCATAGTTTTGTATACTGCCTCCATGGTTAAAATGGCAGGCTTCTTCTGTTCCCCTACTGAATATACTAACACCTTTCTGTCCTTCTATTTTAAGCCTCTTCACCTTGATTTATTGAAGTAGCTGCACATCTCTCACTGCCACCAAGATCAAGTTGACGCGTCTGAATTCCTTACAATTCTATCTAGAGTGCAGAAGAACCACATGAGCATGGTTTGGGGTTTTTTTTCTCCTCTTCCTTGGGATGGTTTTCCAGAAGACAGAAGGAGATTTCTCAGAATGTATTGGTCACATCCAGGGGCGGCTCAATGTTTTTTGCCGCCCCAAGCACAGCAGTCAGGCAGCCTTCAGCGGCGTTTCTGCGGGAGGTCTGCCCCGGTCCCGTGGATTCGGCGGCGGTTCTGCGGGAGGTCCGCCAGTCCCGCGCCTTCAGCGGACCTGCCACCGAATTACCACCGAAACCGCGGGACCGGCGAACCTCACAAACCTCACGCAAACATGCCATGGAAGGCAGCCTGACTGCCGCCCTCACAGCGACCGGCAGGCCGCCCCCCGTGGCTTGCCGCCCCAGCACACGCTTGCTGTTCTGGTGCCTGGAGCCGCCCCTGGTCACATCCTGTTTAGCCAAGCATGTGTAGAGCTCGGTTGTTGCAAGGACTCGGAACTTTCCTTCTTCCCTTTGCAGGACTTGTTCTCTTAATGGCTTATTGATACAATTTGCTTAGCTAATAAGTTAAAAGATGTTGTTTTTAATGTAAACTATATGTAATGTAATGTAAACAAATGTAAACTGACTTTCAGATCCCAGTTTGTCTGGGTTCTATACTGCTTGTGCAACATCACCGCTAATAAGGAATCTTCAGGCCAAATGCTGCCCTCCTCTACATTTGTGCTACTCCAGTGTCTTCAAATTCTGCCCTCAGTTACACTTCTGCAACCCCATTGCCTTCAGCTGAAGCCTTGGCCCTCTAAGTGTAGGCCTCAATCCTGCAGACAGCCTCTACACTTGCACTTCTTGAAGTGAATAGCTCCATGTTCACCTTTGGGGACCAATTTGCAAGGCTAGAGTCTGAGGCCTCGTCTATGCTGGATGTTTGCCATGATTACAGCCATTAGTGACTAAGCAATGGTGTAGCTGAACTGATGAGAATCACTAAAGAAGCAAAACCGCTGTTTGCATTGGTGGCGCTTACCTTTGCTTGAAAGAGAAGGCAGAATTTGAAGACAATGGAGGTGCAGATGGGTTGCATCAGTGCAGTTATACTGCAGGCTGGCCACTCATGGCTGCAATTAGGCAAATCCCCAGTGTGGACAAGTTATGTTGGTGTGTGAACCCGAAAGAATCCGGCTCACTGTCCCATAACCATGTTGGCTCTGTGGTGCCAAAAGCTGTAAAGACTAATGCAAACGACAGTATTTTTAAATCACTAAAGTAAGTAGATACAACTCTGGATAGACACAGGAAGCAGAGGAAGCAGGTGTCATTTTTACATAGCTACTTTTCAGAGCAAAATTGCGCTTTAATGATCATTTTTAATTTGAAGGCAGTACTGTGTAAGAAAAATTGAAGTGTTTTTGAAATTCATTTGATCCAGCTGGAGCTTGCACTTCCTCTTTAACTTTTTCTTTTGTTATTTAAAAATCTTAATTATCTGAGACAAAATTGGTAAGGAAATCTGCAGAATCTGGGGATTCCACAGAGCTCTATCTGCAAACACTCATGCTATTCACTGTTGCCAAATAGAAATGTGCCAGCATTGAAATACCCACCCACTCCCTCCTGCTGCTGCAGCGAACTAATAAGCACATTGACTACATTCATTTAAAGAAAAATGCTGTTCTTTTAATCTTTACATTCTGTAGGCTTTAGATTTCTGATTGTGAGTAATGTCATGTTTATCACACATCAGATGGTGCAAAAGCTACTTGACACACCTCAGTGCATTAGGTATTTTAAAAAAATGCTTTAAGGGTGCCAGCCAGTGGAAGTAGCAGAATATCATCATTGCCTGCAAGTTGTCATATACCTTTTGTGTGCCAGTATCACAGCGAATGAATCAGAGGCCTCTGAAATCAGAACTGATTGTTTGTTTGTTTTGGGGGGGAAGAAGTGCTAGTCAGATTCACCAGTTGACCTCGATAATCCTGAAGCCAGCTGCTCCAATAATAGCAGACAAACTTATTCAACGTCTTCCACAATATTTCCAAACTAAATCATTCTGACAAGGATTACATTATATCTACACTGATGTATAAAATTATATGTTTAAATTAAGACTGGATGACTCTATGACAGAGGTGGGCAAATTACGGCCCATGGGCCCCGTCCGGCCTGCGGGACTGTCCTGCCCAGCCCTTGAGCTCCCGGCTGGGGAGGCTAGTCCCTGGCCTCTCCCCTGCTGTCAATCCCTCCGCCGCAGCCTCAGCTCGCCATGCCGCCAGCGCTCTGGGTGGCGGGGTTGTGAGCTTCTGCTGGGCAGCGCGGTGGCGTGGCTGGCTCCACCTGGGTGGCGCGGCTGCCAGTCCTGCTGCTCTGAGCAGCATGGTAAGGGGGCAGGGAGCAAGGGAGTTGGATAAGGGGCAGGGAGTCACGGGGGGCAGTCAGGGGAAAGGGAGCAGGGGGCGGTTGGATGGGGCAGAGATTCTGGGGACAGGATACGGGGGGGTTGGGCGTGGGAGTCCCGAGGGGCCTGTCAGAGGGCAAGGGTGTGGTAGGGGTCGGGGCAGTCAGAGGACAGGGAGCAAGGGGGGTTGGATAGGGGGTGGGGTCCCAGGGGGGCGGTTCGGGGCAGGGGTCCCATGAGGGGGCAGTCAGGGGACAAGGAGCAGGGGAGTTGGATGGGTCAGGGTTCTGAGGGGGGCAGTCAGGAGGCTGGAAGTGGGAGGGAGCGGATATGGGGCAGATGGGGGGGCAGTCTGTTTGGGGAGGCACAGCCTTCCCTACCCGGCCCTCCATACAGTTTTGGAACCCCGATGTGGCCCTCAGGCCAAAAAGTTTGCCCACCCCTGCTCTATTAAGATATATTCTAGTTCAAAGACAAGATGATGGTCTTGACTGGGTGAAATTCTTTGGCCTGTGTTATGGAGAAGGTCAGACTAGATCAGTGGTGTCAACCAGGGGTGTGCATACCCCTGGAGGGATGCAGAGGTCTTCCAGGGGGTGCATCAACTCATCTAGATATTTGCTTAGTTTTACAGCAGGCTGCATAAAAAGCACTAGCGAAGTCAGTACAAACTAAAATTTCATACAGACAATCGCTTGTTTCTACTGCTCTATATACAGTACACTGAAATGTAAGTACAATATTTATATTTAAATTGATTTATTTTATAATTATATGGTAGAAAGGAGAAGGTAAGCAATTTTTCAGTAATCGTGTGCTGGGACACTTTTGTATTTTTATGTCTGATTTTGTAAGCAAGTCGTTTGTAAGTGTGGTGAAACTTGGTGTGCGCAAGAGGGTACAGTAGTCTGGAAAGGCTGAGAGCCACTGGACTAAATGATGCCCTTTCTGACCTTAAAATCTATATCATGTAAATGTCACATGTATATGAAAGCTGGAGCTGGGCTGATTCATTATTTATAAATATGCTTGTTGACTAGGATGAATTTCAGGATGTATGAGGAGCATATTATTTGACTGATTTTTAAGTTATTCATGAGGCTGGGAACTGGAAGCTCAGAGAGCCCGCTCCTTCCTAGGTGCCTGAATCGCAGCCTAGAAATCCTGTTCTTCTTTTGCTTCATGTTTAAACATACAGCTTATTGGGGGGGCAAGGAACAGGTGGGTGCCAAGACACGCTCTGCTGGGGTGTGTGTGTGTGTGTGGGGGGGGTCCCTGGCATACAATGCACTTGCTGCAGCCCCACCTGGGGCAAGTCAGGGAGCCGGGGGAAGACACATCCCCCAGAGCAGGGAGCTGTGATGAGTCATGACCCGGCTCTGGCTCTTCTCCCACCGCCCCCGAGGATTGCCGCCCTCTCCCCGGCAGCTCCCTTGCTGTTCAGTGGGAGGCTGGGGAGCGCCTGGAGGGGGCGATCTCGGGCGCTCGCTGGGCCACTCCATGCTCAGGAGACGCCAGCTGTTGAAATCACCCCGCAGCTTGGGCGGGCGGCTGAGCTCCGGGCTCGCCAGCCGCAGCCCCTCCGCCCGCTTCCCGGGGCCGCTGCGTCCCTGCTGCACCGGGGTAAGTGGCCCTTGCCTGAGCGCCGCGAGTTGACTTTTGTAGGGGGATGGGTGAAAGGGTTGCTGAGGTGGGGGGCTGCCCCCCTGAAGAGTTTGGACGGGGGGTGGGGCTGCTTGTGTCACTGCCCGTGGGCGGGTTCAATCTCCCGTCTCCCCAAGAGGAGGTTGAGCAGGCGGCCCTCCAGCGCTGAGGGTCAGCGTGGTGTGGGGCTGCCCCCTCTGCTGGCTGCGGGAGGTGCTCAGAAGTGGCTGTGTTCCCTGGGGCAGCAGCCTGGCGGGTGGACCCCCGTGCAGGCAGTCCTGCCTCAGAGCAGAAACTGTGCTGAGCCCCTACACACAGAGACCCTCCCTGAGTGATCCATCCATGAGGAGCCCCGGATGTCCCCGGGTCAGTACTACCCCTCTATCTCTTCTTTCTTCGTGGGGTAGTGTGAAGGGCTAAGGGGGCCCTGAGTTTTATCATTAAATGTTTTTCTTCTGCTTCTAGTGCCAGCTCTTCTTTAAAAAATCCCATTTAACTCAATAATAAACTAGATAACTATGGAGGGTGAGGACAAGGACAGGCGCTCTGGGAGTTTTCTATCCTGTACATTTGTTTTCCTCCAGGCACTAATGTTGGACAGATCTAATGTTAATACTGATGAGAAGTTAGTAAAATGAGGACCAATGACAGGTCAGCTGTTTGCTGTGGATAACCAACTGTTCCATGTGTTGCAGTAATTATCTAAAGTTTTCCATAGCTTCATGGTATAAGTTATGTCTTTAGGGGCCTAATCCAAAACCTCATCTCAAGATCTAAATGAGCTTTGGATAGGTCATGCTAACAAGAGCACATCTTATCTGAGTAATTTAATACCCATCACTAAAAATGCACATTCTTTAATAATTTATACCTCAGTTCTGTCACTCTCACTCATAGGCACCTGAAGATGCGATGCCTTTGAAATTCCCAGCAGGTGCATCTTCAGGTGTCTAAAAACCTTTAAAAGTCTGACCCTAACTCCACTAGTAGCGGGAACAGCCACTGGGAGCTGCGGAGGGCTATGCCTGCAGACAGTCAACGTCAGCAAAATGTCTCGTGGCCCGCAATCAGATAACCCTGATGGGACGCAGGTTCCCCACCACTGTAACTTGAGGATTGTTCTAGAGTGTTTAGAAGAATGAGGAGCCCAGGAACTCCAGAATCCTAGTCTTGGCTTTGCTATTGTTTTAAACTGTTCACTTTTTCCATCTGTAAAGTAGAGATAATACCCAAAATCTAACCCTTTAACAAAAATCCTAATCCCTTCCCCTCAAATGAAAAAGCAAACTGCCAGAATTTATGGAAGGTGGGACTTTGTCCCCATTTTCTTCTTGCTCCAGCCCCAGTTGCAAGCTGGCAACATGCTGGTGTATGATGGAAGCAGCATCATAGTATCTTTAGTGACCATGAATGGTCAGAAGCTGTCAGCCATTTCATCTGAAAGAATTGGCATTTATATTTGGTACTTCTGACAGCAGGGCTGGCTCCAGGCACCAGCTAAGGAAGCAGGTACTTGGGGTGGCCAATACAAAGGGGCGGCACCTCCGGGTCTTCAGCGGCATTTCGGTGGCGGGTCCCTCAGTCCCTGTCTTCCTTTTTGAGCTGCCGCCAAAGAGGAAGGGAGTGAGTGAAGGACCTGCCGCCGAAGAATGGAGCGGCGCAATTGAGCTGTCGCCGAAGTGCCGCCGATTGGCTTTTTTTTTTTTCGCCGCTTGGGGTGGCAGAAAACCTGGAGTTGGCCCTGTCTGACAGCTGTGCTGTCAAATCATATGGATATTACTGGTACTTGTCCTAGGTGTACATGTTCTGTAGAGCAGGGGTTTTCAACCTTTTTCTTTCTGAGCCCCGCCCAACATTCTCCAAAAACACTTCACGGCCCGCCTGTGCCACAACTGTTTTTCTGTATATAAAAGCCAGGGCCAGTGTTAGGGGCTAGCAAGCAGGGAAATTGCCTGGGGCCTCACGCCACAGGGGGCTCTGCAAAGCTAAATTGCTCAGGCTTCGGCTTCAGACCCAGGTGGTGGGGCTCGCAGCCCTGGGCTTCAGCCCCACATACCGGGACTTCGGCTTTTTGCGCGGGACACCAGCAAATCTAATGCCAGCCCTGCTTGGTGGACTCCCTGGAACTTGCTCGTGGCCCTCTAGGGGACCCTGGGCTGAGAACCGCTGCTGTAGAGATCTCCCATCCAAGAATTGTACTGCAGCCTCAGCTCGGCTTGCGAGATCTTGCTGGATCAGAGCAAAGAGACGGTGGGATAGCTGCAGACAGTAGTGCAGTTCTTTAAGTTGCTTCTTTGCTAAGATATCTGCTGCCACTGAATTTTGTTTTCTCATGCTTCTGGGCTCTCTACTCCTGTGTGCTCTATGTCAGTGGCTCTCAACCTTTCCAGACCACTGTATCCCATTCAGGAGTCTGATTTGTCTTGTGTACTCCCAAGTTTCATCTCACTTAAAAATTACAAGCTTACAAAATCAGACATAAAAATACAAAAGTGTCACAGCACATTACTGAAAAATTGCTTACTTTCTCACTTTTACCATATACTTATAAAATAAATCAATTGGAATATAAATATTGTACTTACATTTCAGTGTATAGTATATAGAGCAGTATACAGTCGTATGAAATTTTAGTTTGTACTGATTGCGCTAGTGCATTTTATGTAGCCTGTTGTAAAACTAGGCAAATATCTAGATGAGTTGATGTACCCTCTGGAACACTTCTGCATACCCCTAGGGATACACGTACCCATCTTTGAAAGCCACTGCTCTGTGCTACAGTCAGGGAGTAGGGGTATCTAATGAATGGCTGTGGGGGGGATGGATCAGCTTTCATGTTGCACTCCCCGTCAGTACCTGGCCCAGGCTGGGGAAGCTAATGATCCAACCAGTGGACCAAATTCTGTGATGAATCCTGGTCATGTGCCACCTGAGGCATGTTGCACATACGCTAAAAAGAAGATGAATGGCTGTGAGGGCAGTGGTATGGAATAGCAGCGATGTTGGTAAAAACAGCTTGTGAGAAGGAGATGGTGGGAGGTTTTAAGACTAACTTTGCCCTGTCCTTGACATAAATCTAACCTCAAAGGTTGAAGGTCTGCAGAGACCACCGTTACGTGTCCAATGCTTGAATTGGAGTGGATACAGGTAATACCCCACCCCCTCTTTTTTTCTACTGCTGGTGATGTAAGCCCAGAGTCCCCATAATTCTAGCTCTTCAGGCTGGTTCCTGTTACATTATCCGGTGAATACATCCATAATTATGGTAGCTAACAAGGTGAGATCATTAACACAACTGTTTATTATTAGTCAAAAATACATACAAAAAACCCTCCTCTTTTTTCCCTTCATAGCTTTTGACATATAAATTATTGACAATCACATTTTCAATCAAATATTAAAGAGAGACACTAGAATGAAATTTTTCTTGACATGTAAGCAACTGTTCTATACAGCTGTCCTAGTAGACTTTCGGTGGTGAAATTTGCAAAAAATGTTCCTAATATTATTACTGTTAAGCTCCTCTTTCTCAGAATAGCTTTTCTATAGGAACGTGGCAGATAAAGCATTATCATCATCCCATAATACACAGTGACAGGGGAATGTTAGAACTATACTAGGATAGCCTTCTGTATTTTAACCGGTTTTCCTTTCCATCTTCTTTGTTGTCACATTTCTACTGTCTTTCTCCTCCCCCTCTCCCCCGTCGAATGAGCCCAGACTCCCAGAAGGGTTGATATCTTTCCTTCCTTGTTACTTATAAGTTTTCTGCTCCTGACAGAACAATATAAAACAGCTGACCCTGTCCAGAATAATAGCATTAAGGTTACTCAAAGAAGACAGTTGTATTATACTATGTGTTGGTCTGAATCTGTGTGAAGCTCCTTCTGAATTCTTGTGGAATAAGAAAATGTGATTTATTTATTTTAAGAATTATAAACAAATGATGGGTTTGGTACTTGGTTAACTTCCAACTTACTGAATATAAAAGCATTAGTATTTTAATACCAATGTTAGAAAAAGGGAAATCTGGAGCACTGCATGCCTTAAAAACTCGTTTTAAAATTAGCATTATTTTGATGTATTAAATTCAGTGACCATATGTTAGAATACTTTAAGAACTGTTAATTCTGTTTATGTGAGGAGAATGGCAAATTCATTCACCTTTGGGTTAGGAACATAGGACTCAGAGTGCCCTCCTGGGTTATCAAGTCTAGGTCTGGCTATCACAGGCCTTTCAGGTCAAAGTTTGAGTAGTGCACAGACTCCCACCTCCACCAGCTGCTGCCTGTGAACCAGACACACAGGCTACCTCTATCAGGTGTGATTCCCCTGCTCATGTACATGTAGTTGCACTTGCTGTCAGAGAGCTAGCATGAAGGTAAATAGCAATGTAGCCATGGTAGAGTGGGGAGCAGCAGCGGGGGCACGGCTGACCCATGCCAAGTACAATCCTGTCTGAAACCGGTGAGTATGTACTCAGCATGGCTCAGCCATACACCTCTGTGGCCACTACCCATGCTACTGCGGCTATGCTGCTATTTATACTCTCAATGAGAGCTAGCGCGAATGTGTGTGTACATGAGCAGGGGAATCTCACCCCTAGCTTGTAGTGTAGACATAGCTGTAGACAAGACTGAGAGACAGAAAGTGCCAAATACAATGGGCTGGTGTTAGCAGGCACAATCAGTTGAAGTCAAAGGAGTTGTGCCTGCTTATCCCATTTGGCATTTGTCCCAGCAAGATCAGTATCCCATAGTGGGGTGAGGGGAGATCAATCACATGGAGTCTTTTTTTGGCCTGTTGCTGCCATTGACAGTGCACAAAATGATCTGACTGGGAGAAAGGACACTAGCACCACTAGAATCAAGGTGAGCTGAGGAGCCAGTGAATAGTAATACCAGTCAGTGAGGAAGAGCACCCACAGCCATTACCCAGTGTGACTATGCTAAGAGAAAATGGAATGTCATTGTTGCTAG